CATCCTGTTGTCTCAAATTGGCGACCGTGCACTCATCAAGGTGGCCCTACGGCTCAAGGAATGAGGGTTGCCAAGAGGAGCGAACTGGCCCTGATTTTGTGCCTGGGCGCGCGGCGTGTTGCCGCTGGGACGAGTTCGATGCAAACAGTGACCTCTGCTTTCCAAAAGCTGATGCAGACTCGAACATCTGTGATCCGAACAAGTAACAAGTAGCTTGACATACTTCGATCGGTCGTCGCTCTTGCTGTGAAAAGGTTGCAAACATAATGTGTGGCCTTGGGGCCTTGAAGAAAGGGTTTCAGTCCAACCCTGAGCCATATGGGAAGAAACAATAGCAACCAGCTATGGACTTTGAACCCTGAAGCCCCAAATCATCAACAGGCCCAAAAGCCTATAAAGCCCTAAACCCCAGACCCTATACCGCCCTATAAAGCTCCCTTGAAAGCAGGATGAGCAGTCGCCGGAGTTTAAGCAACAGCTCGAGGCCCTGCGCGGCCAGGCGGGGTTGGCTCTTGGTGCAGGTTTTTGGGGCCCTTTAAGCCAGTGAGCCTGTGTTTTTGAATGTTGAATGCCCCAGAGCCTGAATGACGTAGGGAACCCTTGAATCCTCACAACCCTGCAGAAAAAAACAAGAATGCATCTCACCATGCTCACGCCGCACCCGCTATATGCTGCAACGGTGAAGTAACACAAACTCCGTTCCTAATGAGCGAGTTTTATATGATCACCGCCCACATAACCACTTCTCCAGCACCGCCACCAGCACACTAGCGGCAGCAGCAACAGCAGCAACAGCACCGCCACCGTCATCAGCACAGCAGCAGCAACTCCGAAAGACGGAGGCGGCCTCGCTGCCGCCTTCGCACTTCGACCCCGGGGCCTCGGGCGGTACCGGGGACGTGCCAGGCCAGGGCGGGTTTAGGGTCTAGGGCCTAGGGTTTCAAGAGAGGTTCGGAAGTTCTGGATGTTTTGACAGTGCTCGGGTGATTGAAGGGCTCAAGATTCGGGCCTAGGTCGAGTCATCGAAGGAAGTTTCTGGAGATCGAGGTGATCTTGTTCATGGACGGGCACTTCAAGCATGCGAGGTTCACTAAGTTCACTAAGTGGTCCTGTGGGAAGCCCTACATACCCTACATCCCACGGTATAGTAGTTAGTACTATCGTGCTTTGGTGGGGACCGTTCTTGATGGGGGTTGTGCCCTACATACCTTACATCCCACAGTATAGTAGTTAGTACTATCGTGCTTTGGTGGGGACCGTTCTTGATGGGGGTTGTGGCCATGACCCAAGACTGACTGACAGACACTCCTGATGTGGATAGACCCCATAAACCAAAATCCTTTCAAGCTAAACCACATTGCCCGCCATTGACGAAGCCCGACACTCTTCTGGGAAGAAGGCGTTAGCACCGCCATCTCGGCGATGCAGACTCTCAATTCGGTGAAGGTGCGGGCACCGACTAAGGCTGCTTATGACTTCTGCTTGAATCTGTTGCAAGCAAGATAACAATGCTGATTGTAAGGAGAAAAGCATGGTTGAAATCAGTCTGTTGCAAGCAAGATAACAATGGAGAGTGGCTATCGACAAGTTATTGTACAAGAGTACAGATTGTCACAGTCAGGACCTGTACTGCTGACGGGTGCAGTGGTCGTAGGAGTAGCAGCAGTGGTAGTGGTGGTGGTGGTGGTGGTGGTGGTGGTGGAGGTGGTGGTGGTTGGTGCTGGTGGTAGTGTTAGCGTGAGTGCCACTGGTGGCAATAATGGTAGGGGCAGGCGTGGTGGTGGTGGCAGTAGTAGTCGTCGTCGTACTTATACCTTGCTTGCTGTTGTAGTTGTGGTTGTCGTCGTCGTTGCAGTTCCCAGGCACGGCCAAAATCACCACTATCATTCCAAAAGATCACCACCGCCATCATGGCAATAATCTTTCGACAGCGCTTTTCACCGGATTGGAAGGCCTTGCTGCTAACCGGTCAGTTTGGGCGCGCTGTGCAACAGCTGCAGGACGTTGCGCGTGTGTGTTTTGGTTTTGGATCGGTTGTCATGACGACGATGCTGATGCTGGTGCTGCTGGTGGTGGTGGTGGTGGTGGTGGCGGGGAGGAGCGGGCTGGCGACGATGGTAGGGAAGAGGAAGATAAGTTTGATGAGGTTGGTGGCAATGTTGAAGATTGTCAGATACAGTACCCTCATGCACATGAAGCAGAATGAACTCTGCGGCATGGTGAAATGTGTTTGCCGGATTATTTGGTGGTGGTAGCAGAGATGATGCTGTTGCTGTGCTTCTGTTGCTGTGCTACTGCTGCTGCTTCTGCTGCTGCTGCTGCTGCTGGTGCCGCTGTGGTTGTGAATGATTCCGACAGAGCTGGGGTGATGATGATGATGATGATGATGACGACGACGGTCCCGACGATGGTGGCTTGATATTCTCATGCAACGTGCCATGAAGCCATGGACACCGCAACAAGGCGGCTAGACGAAGCCTTCAAGGTCTCGGATAGGTCCTGACCTTGATGATGTCTACTCGCTTCCTCCTGTTACTAAACACCCCCCAATAATGCAAGAGCCAGATCAGGGGCAAGAGCACGACCCCTCAAAAGTGGCAGTACAGATAAAAAATAGTAAAGCTACTTTCCGAGTCTTTATTGGGGGGACCCCCGGGCAACATTAGTGAATAACGATTAGTCGCCGGTTGGGATACCACGAGATTATGGGCCCTTTGGCCTCACTGAAACTAGAGGGCAGGGTCGAGCGATCCCTTCGCGTGCCCGGCATGTTCTCACATGTCTGTCATTGGTTTAGGGCTGTAGGGTGTTAGGGTTCCTGTAAAGGGATCTATAAGGGTCTGTGTAAGATAGAGGCATCACTAGTGTAGCGGCTCGACCTCAGCAGGTGCAGCATCAGTTTGCCAGGGATCCTTGAAGGGGAGATGGAGGAGCGACCGAACTGGAGGAGACTCAGCTGGAAGACCTGGACACTGCGATGGCAAAACAGCTGGACTCGGATGTGGCGTCTCAAGACAGCTTGCCATTTCTGGAGCCCTGCTTGGGAGCATCGCAAAGCTCCTTCAGAGATGCAGCTATGCTGGAGGCCATCTTTCCTAGGGAAGCTCCTGACCGACCTGCGCTTGCCAGGCTTAGGATTTAGGGTTTCTGAGGTCTCTGTACGTTTGCCTAGGCACGATGAGCGTTCCCATGCAACGTGCCAGGACCGGGCCCTTCGGCCCGTGGCACTCCACATGGCGCTGGTTCTGCGGAGGTCCGGCACGCTGGAGGCCAGGGCCAAGGGACCATGGAAGCCCAGACATGATGCATGCATTGACCTGAGTGTACTGGTTTAAAAGCGCATCCTCTGTTCGTTCCTCGACCCGTTCTTGCCAAGCGGCTTGCACTTGTTTTTAAAACTCCGGCGGCAGGCGGTGTCAGGGCTCGAGACGCCCCTCAACGTCTCGGCGTCTCGGCTTTTGGAATCTGTCTCTGCTTTCCGGGACGACTGGAGATTCCCTGCTCCCAGTGGGCAGGATCTGTCTGTATTTCAGGGTTCTTCAGGGGCTTCTTGCAAGATGGCCGTGGCCGTTCGTCGACACGTTACTTTGTCCATACAGTAGCAAGCAAGTGCGCAATACCCTAGCCTTTGAGTTGAGGGCATTACTTCACTGGTGCAGGCAGAGAGGATCTATCTACTTCGCATCCCAAATCTGATCGCGCGCTAGGGTTGATGCTGGGCTGGGTCGGTTCTGTACGTGCGAGGACGATCATAAGGTGTGGTTGTGCCTGCAAGGTTTCCTTTTAGTTCTGCATGCACATACCACTCGTCAAAACTACAAATCCTAGCCTAGACTGCCCAAGCATCATCTTTCGAAGCTTCTGCCTTCCTTTTTCCGAAGGCTTTCCTGTGCGACTATGCCTCCAGCTTCCGCTGTTCCGAGCAGCTGCGCTACTTCCGGGCTTTGGACGTCAAAGAGAGGGTGAGCCGCGGATTAGGTTTAGGGGTTTGTAAGTTCTTCACGGGTTTCAAGGGTGTTCAAATGGATTTAGGGTCTTCAGGGTCTTAGTTTTTTGTTTCATGGATGTAAGAAGGGCTTTGGCTGTTAAGGGATTTGAGGGTATGGGGGGCTTTTTGCAGAGGGTAAATGGTATCAAGTTTAGGGTGTTTGGGGTTTCAGGAGCACGCCACCGGTGGATTGCCCGAGTCATTGCCCAACGAACTTGGACTTCATGCCCTTCACCCGTAGCCTCCTTGAAGGTTCAATTCCGACATGCAGGGCGCAGATCAGACATCCGATGCCGATGCTCCACTGTGAATCTCCGAACACAGAAGACTCGAAAATCCAGGGCCCAAGGCCTGGAACCAGATCAAGAGTCTGAGCAGGTGCAGGCGCTGCAGCGTCTGCTCCTTTCGGGTGGGGCGGTGGACGAGCTGCTCGGCTACATCGACCCCAACGGACGTCACAGGCAGCGCAGGGCGTCTGAAGTGTTCGAGCTTCGGGCTTCTGGGGTGAAGAGGGCTGCAGCTCTTCCTTGAGGCGTGCGGGCTCGGACGACGAAGGTAGCGAGAAGAGCCGACTGAGGATTGCGAAGATTGAGTGTTCTTGTCATTGTTGTAGTGATGGTCGTTGCTATTGTTATCATTACTATGATTGTCATTGTTATGTAGCATTAGCATCGTTACCATGATTCATGCTGACATTGGAATTGAATGAGTTCTAGTCTATGGTATTACTATGACCTTTACCACCATGACTACCACTACTATTATTATCATTATCGTTCGCATTAGAATCCCCTAAACCCTGAGCCCTATAAACCCGAAACCCAAGCCCTAAACCCTAAACCCTATAAACCCTATGCCCTATAACTCCCGGAGACCTGCCAGGCCGGGCCTCCTGGAGAAGACCCTGCAGGAAGACGGCATGGGCGATCAGGCGGAGACCGCCGGGGTGCTCCGCATAGTCGTGCTTGTATTAGGCTCAGACCTTATATATATATATATATATATATATTGTATGTAGATATATATATATATATATATATGGTAATATACACACATAGACATATGTGTATAAATATAGACATATATATATATATATATGTATAGAAACTAAACAAGTGTAAATGCAAGTAGAAATATAAGTGTGTGTGTATATATATATATTATTAGCCATAAGCTGTCAAGTAGTCCCCAAACACCAAAAATTGCTTAAGATTGATTCTCAAACTCGGAGCTAATTGAGTGCAGAATTCCAGCGGTTCTTGACCGCACCTGAGCCGCACCTGCATTCTGCTTGCAGAAGTTGAGGAACCTGTGCACATCGACGCCCATGTCATGCTGGGCCATTCTCGTTGTACGGGAGTAGTGCCGGCAATCTGTTGAAACCCTCCCCCAATCGTAAACCGGGACCAGTAAATTTTTGCGATCGAGGAAGGTCCGTGCGACCTAGAGGCTACGCTCCCAATAGTAATATCCCTTTTAGCAATAGTTTCGATGTGAGGCACAGCCGCCCATTATATCATCATCTTCAGACTGATCTCGACTATGGAACATATCATCACCATTATCATCTTCATCACCATAACAGCCTAGTGATCCCTTGTAACACCTTATCGGACCCGACGCAGCCCCGCTTGCATGGCATTTCATGCCTGCGAGCTGAGCTCCCAAGTCGCAGATGATCGGGATTCGGATGAGGGGCTATAGGGACATGGATTGGGGAGTTGGGCTTTCTGCAGGGTAGAGGCGTTGGTTGGGTGCTCGTTCGATCGCGCACTTCCTCTGGATGCGGGGCTTAAGTGGGACAGCTCGGATGTTACTAGGATGTCCTTGACACATGTGACATATGCATTGAAGGTCAAATAATTCGGCAGTGTGTCCATGTAGTGCGGTTAGATAGACACCCCTTCGGAAGCCAAGCTATGCCATATTTGGCCCGCAGGCGGAGTTTGTGGAGTTGTGCTCTCGTGCTGGTCGCCAGGCACCGGTCAGAACTTCTGTAAAATCCCGCCACGAGTTTCATGTCAGCAGCTCTGCCTGTATCCACAGAATCTGTGCCTGAAATGCTTGAACCCCAACCGTAAACCACCCTTGAACCCCTAAACCCCAACTCCAACCCCTGTACCGTCCTTGAGTTCCCTAAACACCACACCGCCCGTAAGCTCCCCAACAATCGCTTGGTTTGGTGCTGAGGGCATTTAAGGGTTCGATGCGAGGCCCGAGATCAGGGACAGTACCGGGAAGCCATTCGCCTGCTTCACCTGGGAAGGCCCTAGGGCCCTAGGGTGTAGGGTGCAGGGTTTCATGGATTTAAGTTTTAAGGGTCTAGTAGGTTTCATAGGGTTTTAAGAAGGCGTCTCAAGGATTTATTCGGGCTGAATAAGATTCTACATGTAACGGGGTTCAGGGTTTAATAGGGTTTGGATTGAAGTTTATACGCTTGTTATTGCGTTCAGGTTTAGGGTTTGGAAACAGCAGAATCTGCTCTCTCCATTAGGGGGGTGCTTTTTGGCTGTTATGTGGTGGCATCGACCGATTCCGGGTTCGTGGTTCAGGGTCGAGGTGTTTGGGTTTCTGAGGTGTTCAGTAGGCAATGTTGTTGTCGCCCAAAGCTTACGATCTTAAAGGGTTTGGGATGTCACTCTTCAGGATGTCCAGCGGAACTAAGCTATATTCTCAGAGCACTTGACACTACTCGTGGCAGACATGCTTCTGCCGTCGTGCGTGGTCCAGGTGCTACAGCGAGGTGCTTCAGGCGCCGTCCGCAATTGAATGATGCTGCCTTCCGTCAGGCTTCTTCTTCTCCTTTGGCTTCTCCGCTGTGTAGATTGCTGCTTTCGCAGCTAGTATCACCAGTCGGTGTGACGGTTGCAATCTGGCTCCTTGTAACACCATGACCATGCCACGTTTTCAGAGATAGTTGTCTTTTCAGGTGCTGTGCCGCTGCCTGCGGCTGCCGATCTGGCGTGAGGAATGTTGTTTATAGTGCTGGTCAGAGTTGCAGTTTAGGTTTTTGGAAGTTGAGGTGTCTCAAGCATCTGGAACTCCTGCGATGTGTGCTTGGGCCATCGTCTGTTCGCCTTACCTAGCTTTGCCGATGAGGTGTGCAAGGGAGTAGGGCTCTTGGCTTGTACCTCACAGGAAGCAAGGGGTTCATCCCTATCCACACAACGGGCCCTCTATGACTCTATGCTACAGACGCAAACTTACACCACACTGAAGAATAGCCCATGAAGCCCTAAACCCTAAACCCTAAACCCTAAACCCGAAACCCTAAGCCCTAAACCTAAACCCTAAACCCTAAACCCTAAACCCTAAACCTAAACCCTATAAGCTCAAGCCCAAGACACTGCACCTAGGAGTCGATAGCTTCGGGCACGGCAGCGCAGGGCGAGGCGGCCAGCCTGGCCCAGGCAGGTCCCTTCTGCTAATTACCCATACTATTTGGGGTTTAGGGTTTAGGGTTTAGGGTTGAGGGTTTAGGCTATTATTCCCCTATACTATTGGGGGGGTTCCTTGTTATAATTATAGTATAAGGGGCCCCAAGACCTTCTTCATGTTGCATGATTTCTGTTGTCCACGTTTTTGGTCTTATCCTTGTTACCGTTGTCCTGGTCTTGGTCGTGGTTCGGTTTAGAGGCCTAGGGTTATGGTTCAGGGCTTTGGTTCGGACGTCAAAAGTCCTGAGCTTGGTTCAGGGACAGTGTTTCGGTAGTAAGCAAGACTTCCCTTTGGGAGCTCTGGCGAAGTATCCGCAGTTTTTGTCCCGGCTCAGCCGCCAACTGGCAGGACATCCAGCGCTTCTTCGACATCTACGAGCGGAATCTGGACCGCTATGCTCTGTCCTCGCAGGCACTCCCCCTGTCTGCGAACCCAATGCACAGGATTAACAGGATTGCGATGTGCAGAATATCCCACAAGTCCCAGAAAAGCAGGTCCTGTCGGATCGGTACGGCAGGTCTCGGAAAGTTCTTTGAGCCCGACCGCCTCTATACTCTCCAAGCCCCAACTCTTGGACAGACAGACTCCTTTCTTTCAGTACTCAGCTGCTTGTCTCGTCTTGGATTTGGGATTCATGGTACATGTAAGGTAACTGTAGTTCTGCTACTATGTTGACTCAAAACCCCAATGACCCCTAAAAACTGGTTTCATGACTAGGTTTCTGAACATGTACCAGCAAGGAGCGCCTATAGTTCCTAAAATATGTGTCGCCGCTAAGATAATAATCTTAAACCCTGCTCGCAAAGTACCTCCCCCTTCATGGAGCCTGTAGCAACCCAAAGGACGCTTATGACCCTGAAGGTCTGGACCGTGGCGCGGAAGCTCTACGCCACGAGGATGTTCCACAGCCTCTGCGACCGAGGCCGAGTTTGTTCCATCTTGAGTGCGTAGAGTATGTAATGCAGGTAGTGCGAAGCAGCCGGGTACGTTTTGCGTAATTCACAAGATTCGTAGTCAGCCTCGATCCTGGAATTGATTACCAAGTGCGAATTTCTGTAACCTCTTGCCTGCGCTGGCACAACACGCTGCGAAACCTTCAGCATCTGTAGGGCTCGGGCTCTGGGGTTTGGCGCTGGCACCCGTCAGTTTGTTTTGAGACCGACGGATGCCGAACCGGTGTATTCAAGAGATCCTTCTCCTATCCCTGAACCCTGAACCGTAAACCCTAAGCCCTAAGCCCTAACCCTAAGCCTTTAAACCCGAAATCCCGAAATCCCCAGGATGTCCCAAGACCGAGCCAGGGCAGCCAGAGGCGGCTTTGGATGTCTTCGACCGCGAGCAGCTTTTGGGAGACGTGGACGCTCCTGCCGAGGCGTGGATGCTGCTACTCTGGGGGGGCCTAAAGAGTTACCTATACTATTTTTTGGGGGGTTTCCTTACCCTAGTTATAGTGCCATATACCAGAAAAAAACCTTATTCAAATTTGTAAGGCCCCCACATTGATCAGGCTTTCGGATGTGGGGTTCAAGCCTTGGGGTTCACTGTAGGTAGGGATGATGATTAAGGGTTGAGGGTTCTATAGGGCCTGCTTAGGGTGGTTTGGGCCTTTCTGGGTTTAGGGTTTTGGGGTTTTGGGGGTTTGGTTGTTTGAAGTGCTGGGGCAGCCAGACCCGGCCGAGGATTGGAGTATTTCGATAGCTTTTTGTTCGAGGCTATGTTGTAGGCCTAAAGGGAGTTCGCAAGCAAGGGGCTTACAGAGGCAGCTTCCGCAATAGCCATCCAAATCAGGATCCAGTTCCAGTGGACTTGCAACCTTGAAGTGCCCAACTGCCCGAACTTTCAGACCCAATGACCTGTAGCCTGCAAAGCCTGAACTGACGGTCAGGCAGCAGACGAGATTTGGGCTGAGTATCCTCAGATCGAAGCTGGGCGGCAGGTGAAAGAGCATTGAAGAAATACGTATGCAACGCGACGCGACGTCGTCATTGTGGCGGCCGCGGTGATAGTAGAGGTAGCGGTAGTGGCAGTACTGGTAGTGGCAGAACAGTGGCAGTAGTAGTCGTAGTAGTGGTGGTAGTAGTAGTAGTAGTAGTAGTCGTCGTAGTCGTAGTAGTGGTAGGAGGACCTCCGAGGCAGAACAGAACCAATTGGTCAGAGACCTAGATATGCACACTTGCATTATAGGTAGCATCCCAAGAAGAGAAACATGATGAGCGCTGTAACGGTGCTCCTCATTCTTTTTTTGGTACTGGTCGAGGTTTCATTTGGTGGGTGGCACGGAGCGTGAGATCTGGATAAGGCTTGAAGGTTTGTGGTAGCAAGTGCGCCGCACAGTTGGCGTCCTTCCAACTTATGACACTGGTATTTCTAGCCCAAGCAGCTTAAAATTGCAAGAGTTTCGTGAAGGCGTTTGCGCGCTTGAGACTATTATACTGACTGTGTCTTTTGATCAGGTGTCGGCTTACATCCGAGTGCTCAACCATGCGGCGACGCGCGGAGCCATGGTGGGCTATGCGATGCAGGCACGGAAGCAAAGTAAGAATCGGAAACCCAAGGTGCCGATCGCATGCGTAGGCACCCAGCCACCTCCCAAATTTGTGACCCGCACCCCACTCCTGGTGCCATTGCTCTACTCCAGACTGGAACATCCTTGAGGCACCTGACTTCCCAAACAGCTGCTTCAAACCAAAACCGCATGGATCCTGTCTCAACCAGCTGTGTCGTTGGGGTGCAAAGCCGTCGCATTTCCATGGTGAGATCGCCCTTGAAGGCATCTAACATCCCGGTTGGTGCTCGGCTGGCAGTGCCTTATAACAACCTCTAGCCAGGACCGCGTGCGGAGGCTGCAGTCCTTCCTTGCAGCGCGCTGTAACCGCCTCGTCCTGGACCAGGATCCCGGTAAAAGACGGACATCTTGAGAGCACATCAAAGTCTGCATAAGGGAGGGTTTCTGTCCGTCCGTCGGTCGGCCGCTCGGCCTGTCCGTCTGTTTCTCTGTCCTTATGTACCTGTAGCCGTACCACCTCTACCGTATATCCTCCCCTTTGTCTAGCTGTCGGTTGATGTCTCTCGAGGTCTCTATGCATATCCATCCTGTCTACTTATGAAACTTGTATACATATGCATGCATACCACATCCAGCATCATGGTCGGATCACACTTAACCCCAATGTTAAGTGCTGAGTCCTTGTACTTGTGTGGTCTGGATCTATCACGCTGCCTTTGAACTTCGCAGTGTGCAGGAAACAGATGCTGCCCTTTCGAGACTGGCGTGGCTTGATTGGACAGCGGGGTGACATGTTCTTGACCGCAAACCCTTAACTGCCACGGAACCGATCCCGTGATGTTTCAAGATCCATAGGAATCCCATGCGCAGGGTGCTGGCTGCAGGAAGGGCCATGCACCCGAAGCCCTTTACGAGGCCTCACCCCTAAGCCCTAAAGCCCTAAACCTAGACTTCGAGAGTTCTCAGCGTTGAGGCAGGATCCTCAGCAAGGCCCCAGAGCCGCTGAGTCCGAAGCCCCAACCCGAGTCTCTGAGCGAATCTGAGCTGCCAGCAATAAGATAACATAGGGGCCTTCATAATTAGAAAAGGGTTTTTGGGGTATGTAATACAGGAACCCTAGAATATTACAGGTAATTATAGGTGACGGCGCCCGTAGCGCGCCCTGCGTTTAAGCCACTTGTTCAGCTTTCTGTGTTGTTTCTGTTTCGGTGGGGGGTGGGGGGGCGACAAGAACGTCATACCCAATCGTTGGTCTGTTGCACAAGAAGGACCTTGACATGGGAATGGCACCCTGCCCCAAATACAAGTATCAGTCGTGCCCCGTGTTGCACGTCGCTCTGAGGCTATGCTTCTGAGGCCGTTGGTCAGCCCTGCCGCTGGCGCAGCGCTCGCTCGCGGCCGCTGAAAAATGGGTTGACTGCCCGGGGCTCGAGGTCAGGTTCGACGGCGCTTTGGGAATAAGAGCTCGCTTGGTCTGTTTGGGGATAACAAGACGAACGGATGGAGCAGGCCACGGCTTTGTGGGTGTTGAGGCATCGGGCGTTTACTGCAGAAGTTCTGGAACCGACCGGGGCTTTCGTGCCCACTTGCAAGCTGCTGTTGCGCAAACAGGTCTCTGCAGTGTTGTTGTTTCTCTTTAGTCAAGCAAATTGTCAAGACAACTATTGCTTGTCTGGTGGTTGCTGAAGCAACTGCCGCTTGTAAACGAATGCTGCAGCATCTAATCTGCTATCTACATCAGTGCATTCATTATACAGACTTCACTGCAGCTGCACGCGTTTGCTCGTCTCTTCGGACCAAGCGGGAGATGTGGATGCCTAGCCATTCATCACAGGTGTGATTGTACATCCCCTACCGCCCGTACCGAGCAAGTAGACTCCTAGACCCGAGCCCCGCAACTGTGAGACTCACCGCAGCAGAGCAGCCATGGGTACGGAGGCCGCTCATGACATGGCACAGGGTCGCTTCGAATGGGCTCCGGCACCCTGCGATCGGATTGTACCCTGGCATTCCACAAAGTAGCCCGAAGCTGTTTGGAAGAGGTATGCTCCCAAGCAGCCCTCCAGGCAGAACTGGACAACTGAGGTACCTTCTGGGCTGCGTGCTGGGAGTCGAATCCCTGCAGCATGCAGGTGGGGAGGCTTGGCCCCTCACGCTGCTTGCCAGTGGAGACAGTCTGCCACTGGTTCTCAAGATTTCGACATCGGACCACAGCGCCTACCGAACGTTGCAGAGTGATATGATGGTGCGGATCACTTCTCGCGATGTGTCGGTACTAGCCTTCGATGCTGGACTTGCGCAATGCCAGGACATCATGACAGAGACGGTGAACCTTCCCGCCCCGCACACTTGCGCAACATCGTTCGACGGGTCGGCTCTTTACCTGACCTTCTTCGAAGACTATGCCTTGCAGCCGGCCACGACTTATCTTTTCGCGACGCGGCTGCGACTGCTGTCTCCCGGAACTATGCGTCAGCGGACGCTGCTCTGTGAAATTTTGGAGGATTTCGAGGTCATTGACAGGTTTGGCATTGTGATCGGCACCATTGCTGCCATGCCACCGCAGCCGAGCCTCCAACTGTCAGAGTTTCTAGGCTCTTCATGGTAAGTTTCGTCCGCCTCGGACATTTTTCAAGCCAGTCGTTTTGCTGTTCATTCTAATTTCTATCTTTTAAGCACGGGCCCAGGTTCCGAATCTCCGCGGTCGCCCTTTCTCGCGAGCAGGAGTTCGTCCTCGAGGTTCGCCTTGCCGCAGCCTCCGCTGCAACGGCTGTGGACCCTGGGGCCCAGGGCAGCGTGCTGATTTGGGCCAGGCCTTTGGGTTTTTGAACCGCAGGCGATCATGCATGGAAGGCGGACTGCTTGCCTTTTCGTCAGTGCTCTGCAAGGCCTCTGATGCTCTGGGATTTCTCTGCCGTGAGCCCCTGCTCCGTAGAGATCGGCAGCGGTGCCTCCGGCCTCGTGGGGGGAGGCACCTGCACCTTCCTGCGATTCCCGGAAAGCAGCACCGCGTCGGTGGCCGACAGCATCGGGCTCAATGCCTCCTTGGCTCAGTTTGAAGGATGGTTTTCTTGCTATGCTTCTTTTTCGAGTTCAGGGTCGGATGTCTTTGCCAAGTCTTGAGTAGATGAGCAAGGCCATCCGGCTGGTGCCCGCCGGCAAGATCGGAGTGGATCCTGTCACGTTCCGATTCCGCCTGCGGGCGCCCAGCGCGGGAACGCTCGGGGTGCGGTGGTTTGCTCAGGCACAGCAGCTCGGCCTGCCTGCGCAAGCCGCCTTGACCTCGGACTCGGGCTTGAGCGTTGCACCCGTGCCGACAGCTTTGGTCAGCTACGTCCGGAACCTGGCAGCCAGCGCCGACAACACCGTGCAGATCGTGTTCAATGCAGGGATTACATTCGCCGGCGGGGGCCTGCTTCGCGTTGATGTGCCAAGCTCTTTCCAAGTCGTCGTCGCCGAAGTGCAGGTCAGCGGGTACGGGCGTCTCAGTAGCAGCCCCAGCATCCTTTTGGACCCTCACAGCGTCACCATCGAGCTGGGCAACACAGACGCCCTTTGGACAGGAGTCAGCTACTCGCTGCTCCTGCGCGCGGCTGGGCAGCAGGAGCAAGATTTCTCGTCGAGCTTGGAATCCCTGGAAGTATCGAACCAAAGAAGGCCCCCAAACTGCTCAACCTTGAAAGTGCCGAATCCCCAGCCATGCTGAACTTCCGATATCCGTGGGCTTTTGTGGGGCCGATGAAAGCCTTGGACCTCGACCCAAAGCAACGCCAAAAAACCCGGAACTTCAAGCCCAACAGCAGGGCCCAGAAACACATGACATAGGGGCCTTAACAGATTAGAATAGGGTTTTTTGGGGATGTTGCACTAGATTCATAATAAGGAGCCCCCCAAAACCCTATTCCAATCATTGAGGCCCCCGACATTACCAAGCCTCACCCTGAACCCGTAGCCGAAAGGGCCTCAACCCGAATCCTGGGAGCCTAGGTCCAAAACCCTGACATGGCTACACTGCCCCGGGCCTGCACCGACGTCTTGTCCGCCTTGGTGATCGATTCGGACCTCCTGGGTGTTTTGGTCGGAATAAAGGAATTTACAGAGGTACAGGAAGGGGTTTCGCTATTCATATGAATGAAGGTATATTGCGATCAGCTATGAGGGCTTGGGGACATGTCGTGATGTTCTCGGCCATTTGCACTTGGGCAAGGTTACGCATTTGTGATGGTGATTTAGACATTTAGTAGAGTTGTTGAGTGTAAATGCGGATTTTGAACATCGGGAGCCACTCCTCAAGAACCCATTTGCCACTCTAGTATTGCCTGCATAGGCAGCGCGAAGGTACACCGAAAACCAAACACGATTGTAGTTCAAAAGAGGCAAAGACATGCACAACTAGAGCAACGGCAACAACAGTGTGAACTACCACGATAGCAAGAAGAAGAGGGCCAGGAGATACTCGTATAACCAAGAAGAATAGCAAGATAAAGATGTCACAGGTATCTTAGCCACCTCTGACTTCACGCCGGCTGCCCCGGAAGCTTGGAGCATCTACCTGGAGGTTCGGAGTTCGGAAGCCCTCGGCACAAAACTTGCGAGTGGATTCTGAGTGTAGACCTCCTAGACCTCCTCTTACGGTCTTCGGTATCGTGTGTTCTGTCAGTTGGTTTGGGATGCATGGTGGTTGCATCGCTCTTCGATGGCCGAAGCCCGACAGCTGACGCTGTCAAACCACCGTAAACCAGGGCCTCCATATCAGCCCTGAAGGTGGGTCGACCGGTGCAGGCCACAGGCACCGCGGCCATCGGAGCGATGACTCTTGGCTCTTTGAGGGGTACTCAGCATTCTGCGGAAGTGTACTTCGGCTTCTGGCGCAGCGTCGCAATGGCGCGCACTTCTTGCGACAACGTCTGGATTTGCCTTCCTGCGTTGCGGGGTTGTCTTTTCATTCACTTCAGCATCTCACTTCGGCACGGTTTCAGCTTGGTAGTTTAAACATTAAAGCCTCATCATCTGTGGTGGCACTCCAGGAGCAGCTTGTGGTTCGCATCTTTGGGTTGTAGGGGCTTCTGGTTGCTGCTTTAGTGTAGCCACTGCAGACCTCAACCCGAAGCCCTATAAGCCTGAAGCCCAAAACCAAGGAACATCTTGCTGCCACTGCAAGGAGCTTTCCTCTCGCCCAGCAGCTCGGCGATCTTCAGAGTTGAGGGTTAAGGGGTTTAGGGTGTGAGATTTATGGTTGAGGGTGGCCTGAAGCCTCAACATCGGAGCCTCAAAAACCTTCCAGGCAACCTTGCCGTGGACCAGCTGAATACCCTGCAGGTGGGGGAGAGAGACGGTCTGACCCTGTAATATGAGGGCCTGAATAATTCGAATAGGGTTCCTT